CGGAGGGGGGGGGGGCGGGGGGGGGTGAAAGTTACCTCCAAGGTTTCATTGAACAGATAACCTGCTCTAAAATGTCAGCTTTCCCTACTGACCTCTCCCTGCCCAACACATTTCTGTATCCTGTACAAGTCCGAAGCATGTTGGGAAGTCAGGAAGTCCCCACCAACTTGAGAAGGTAAGTACCTTGATCAAATGCTGCAGTAAGGTGCAGGGACTAGAAGTGTGCTTGGAAGCAGAGGTAACCTAATGAAATGATTAACAGTGTAAATGTTGATGAGGTAAAGAGGACAAAGAGTTGTGTTGGGAGTGGAGGTCCGAAGGAAAAGCCAAAAACCATAAAAAGTAGGTGATCTGTTCAAAGAATCTTTGGAGGTAAGTGTAACGTGAACCTGGCACTTATTACCTACTCCTGGTCTACAAAAATAGTCGAAAACAAAATCACATTCATTTTAACTTGGATTTTAAAGCTGATCCAGTCCTGCTAATTTTGTATTTAATTAATTGCAACAATATTTGTTATTCATAATCATTGGTGGGAGCAGCTCAAAGTACTGAGATTTATTAGCGACAAGCTCAGAACATTTCTTACTTAGACATGTATTTCTCAAGTAAATGGAAGTGAAAGCTGTAACGATCTAGGAAAGCAATGATGTGATCAGTCTCTTTAGTTCTCGTGTTTTGCATTGGTTCTACCAAAGGGCATTGGAGCACTTGAAAGAGATGGTAATTAACCAAGTCAAATCTAATTATATCTTCTTTATTACATTTATCCAGAACTCCTAATTTTAGGAAGCTGCATAATTAACTCTTATTAAACAGAAAATCGTGTACAGGGGAAAGGCACAGAAAGTTTTAATATCCCCAAAACACTTGAAGGATAGTTAAAATATGGACATTCTAGACAAACATCGATGTCACTGCACTAATTGTAGCATTTCTTAAGGTGACCCTTTCACCAGCTAGCAGAAATAAAACAAAAAATAATAGAAAAGTCTTTAGTACTTAGCCATCCCACTACATATGCCATCCTTCTCCTCAGAGGTCAAGAGATACGGATGCCTTTAAAATTATTAAGGTTGTGTCTGGTGTCACTACTTGTCCTGCAGTGACGTTGTGGTCAGCAGAGAAACCACAAGGTGCCGTGGAGGACCAAGTATTCAACAGAAAACAGATGCAGACAATTCTTCAGACAGCAGTATCTCTTGCATACAGAGGAGCACCTCCATATTGGCTGCCGGATAGGTAAGTATTAAAAGACTTCTTTTCCATGCAGTATTTTTTTATTTTTGTTAAAAGATGAAAATGTCTCTTCAACCGCTTCCAGGTCGGCCATTGTAATAAACAGCCGGCCTGGAGCTTCTTGAATGTGAGTTTTTAAACATTTTAAATCATAAACAGCCAGCGATGGCCGTTTACATTCAAGTGTTCTGGTGTCTGTGGACCCGCTGGATCGCTCTTAACCCCCTATGTGATAGTAATAAAGTTTAATGGAAAAAAAAAAAGTCTAAAAAAAATATGTTTTGTTTTGGTTTTTTTTAAATCCCCCCGCCCCCACATACAGAAACATGCGTTGGGTGCTATGTGCGAAAATGACGATGGCGCCCCTAGTTATCATAGCAAATGTCAGAGTGAGAGCAATCATTTTAGGGCCATCAATCACTGATAACACTAAACTGATGAGCGGTAAAAGCCTCTCCTATGGCCAATTTTGGTATGTCATTTTTTCGTGATTTCGAAGGCGCACGCAATTTTAATATTTGACATGTTTGGTGTCTATTTACCCGGCGTGAGTCCGTCTTTTTTATTTTACTAAACATTTGGGTAATAATGAATGTTTTATAACAACGTAGGGAAAACAGTTTTTCTTGGAAAGTTTGGTTACATTTTTCATTATATAGCAAACAATAGAAACTCCAGTGGTGATTAAATATAACCAAAAGAAAGCTCTATGTGTCCCCAAAAAATTATATAAAATTAATTTCAGTACAGCATTGCACCACTGATTAAATGTCAAAGTACTGCAGCGCGGAATACTGAAAAATGGCCTGGCCAGGAAGGGGGTTTAACACCCCGGTCATCAAGTGGTTAATGATCTTATTTGCAATGCTTCTCCATGCAACCCCACATCATTCCTGAAGCTAAAAAGCACACCAAGGTTTAAAAATGAGATAATCAAAAGCGGCAAGAAAATTGAACCAATCCCACATAACTTACTCTAAGAATCTGATCGCCTTCTTCCAGTCCTTCTTTAGCTGCAGGGCTGTCCTCCAACACACCCGCAACAAAAATACCCACATCATTTCCTCCAGCAAGACGTAGCCCCACACTGTCTCCTTTCCTAAACTTCACAAGTTTCATGCTGGGCCTGTGTGATATAAATTAAAAAAATTACATCTAAAAAGCTTAAATATTACATTTGTGCAGTCCAACAGTGAGTGCCACAAACATGCAAATACAGATACTGACAATTTCCGCCAATAAACTTTTTTTTAGTTCCTAAACAAACTAGCATTGGAAGGTTGCCACAGTTCATCTCACTGAAATATTTTTAAAAAAATGGAGTTCCAATTAATAGATAAACATAATACGAAATGAGTCTTATGACAAAGGTGGAGTATTTGCACCGTACCACTAAAAATGGTGTGCAGAGACACATACAAAAGGATTGATTTATAACTCCTCATTTGTACCACGAACAGCTATGCAAGTGAGATTTGCACAATATGACCACTAAATGGATTTGAGAATAGGACTTCTCGGCTCCATCTAGTGGCCATAATGCATGGTGAATATCTTTTGCATAGGTATTTCCTGTGAAAGCAGGTTATACAGCAACCCCAAAGTATTAATTTTGGAACATTTGTTAGGAAACGAGACAATATTGATATGCCGGTTGAACGTGCAGACTACTAACAGACTCAATACACACTGAAAGGGCAAGATGCAAATACAATCATGACATTTTAACCAAGGGTTAGAAGGCAAACCACCTTTATACATTTTGGGTAAGCTACAAAGAATATTGCAATAAAGAATACAGACAGAGACAGGCAATAGAAACAGTCTTTTCTGTCACAAGTGCAGGTCAAGACCTCTTGTGGGGAGCTAAATAGTATGAACCGTTTCTGAATGAAGGTGATTCAACCTAAATGTATAAAAAAAACTACTTCCCTGCGGTTTCCTGTAGTGACTATCACCCTGAGAAAAATAGCTTCTATAGATGTTTTCTTATTTCATAAAAAAGGTTAGGCCAGCAAGGAGAAGAAAGTAGATGTTATGGGACTTTCCTCCCCTTGCTGACCTGTTCATTCATCAGGAAGGCAGCAGGATGTCAACTGACAATAAAAGCAGCTGGGAGCAAACAGCAGTGCAATGCGTTAGCAGTTTCTTAAGCAAGAAATCTTTATTTCTCAAACCCTTTTCAAATGGGATATTTGTATGCAGTCATGTTATTCTTCTTTAAACCTGACAAAGCTATAGTAGCATTTTCTAACATTCCTACATTAGAGCAGCCTGGGAGTATTGATCCGACTTCTAATGTTAAAATGTTTCTTTGGGAACAGACAATGGGCCACTTCTGGAACACAAACAGGCAGGTTAACCATTACCGTAGCATGCCATCTTCATGTGTGGAGTTGGGAAAAGGTCCATCAGATGGACTGACAGGTAGGTCTACATCTGGCTGTCCTGACTGGGCATACACAGGTTTTGGCTCTAAAAAGAGAGGAAAAAAAAATCAAATTTAGAAATAACAGTTATCAATTTCTACTAACAGTTTAATCCCAGAATAAAAAGTAATACAGCAGGATTCCATCAGATTTAGGTGTGCAGAGGATCTAACAATGCAAAACGTTAGTAGCATTCATTAATGGTGTGGAGTCCTAAAATAAGGTTGATATAGATTTAAAGGAGAACTATGAGGTGAGTGAAAATCACTCATCCTCATAGTTCGAGCCAATGTGTGACAATTAAACTGTCACAGGCCAGCTCAATAGATCGGGAAGTGAACGAACACATACCGTATGAGAACTATGGGAAAAAACACTTACCCAATAGTTCTCTTTTAATGTTTTCCCTGTGTTTGCGTGGGTTTCCTCCCACACTCCAAAGACATGCTGGTAGGTTAATTGGCTCCTGTCTAAATTGGCCCTTGCATATATGCGATCTTAGGTTGCAAGCCTCTCGAGGGCAGAGACTGATATGGATGTGCAACTATGTAAAGCGCTGTGTCAGCGCTATATAAAAACCTGTACAATAAAATAAATAAATCCTACAAATTAGTAGATTTGTAATATAAATGGTGAAGCTTAGCCATTCCCCAAGCTAATCCAAATTGTAATGTAGATCTCAGCAACCTACAGAGTGGTGTTGCAATGCATTGTGGGGCGAGCTGGGGCTGCTCTCAGAACAGACTATTCTAAATCAAGGAAACTTTAGGGGTTCCCAGGGGACACCGCAGCAACATATCTTGAAATCATCGAAAAACAATTGAAGGGGCTATTTAAACTGTGAGGTTACTTTATGGGTTTAGAGCTTCTGACAGGACAGTTTTTACTGGAAAGTAAATGGTTGTGTACATTGATCTTAGAACAAATTCCTACGCAAAGTAAATGTAGGCAAAACTCAATTATAGCAAATCTATTTTTTTAAAACTACAAATGAGTTTTCACTTAAACTACTCTTTGCTAGGATCCCAAGGACAAATTAGCACATAAATCATTCAAGATTAACTTCAGAACATTATGACCTGTCCTTGACATCCTTGATCATTCCAAGTCTAATAAAAGGGAATTACCACTAAAACATAGCGGCAGCAATATTTCACAGCTTTAAACAGCTGGAATATATGTGCAAATATATTGACATGAGACGGTCACTGTTGAGAAATTATAGCACTCAATATATAATCTTAATGATTTTGATTCGCAACAATTAGGGCTAAATAAAAAAAAAAAGTACACATTTTTAAGCACCATCTTAAAGGGTAACTCCATTTAAAAAATATAGCATATATAAAATTGCAGCACAAATTATCAAAATAAACTTTCCATTTAAAACTGTAAAAAAAATTCAATGCAAGATGTTGACCTGGAGGCGTTCTGTACACAGTTGGCGTACAGAAATGCCCCTTCCTGCTTCTGTGATTGGCTGACTAATTTCCCAATTTTTGGAAGTGGTACCGATCAAAGTCCACTGTAGGGAAAACAATTCCTTATGACAGACCGACAAAATTCTGTTCCATGCACCATTTTATGGCATCCTGTTGCAGTATTCCCATGCCATCCACCCTCCAGTGTATTCACATGGAAAAACAGGAGCCCAGGTTGTCAGCTGAACAGGAATGAAAACCCCTGGGCCAGAGGTGGAGCAGGTGATATTCCCAACTGAATTCACAGCGAATAAAGCTGCTCTGGAACCTCAAACTTTGCTCCACTTTAAAGAAATTGTTTCAGTTTCTGGTGAAGCCATGCTGTTAAAATGAATTGCTTTATCACCTGGTAAAGGAGGTGTCTGCTTTTCTGCTCTTTCCAGATCCTCTGTTGCTTTGGATAGGGTTGCGCTGTTTGTATTTTTCACTGGTGTAGATACTCCAGGCTTTGATACTCGATCTTCCTCTCTACTCCGCGTGCTGCAGAATTAAGTATATGTGTTAGTATTGTGTGGATGATGATGAAGTCTTTACCAATGACTAAAATACTAGATAGTTAACCCCCTTAACTTCTAATACCTATTGTGGACTTTGGATTTTTTTTCCCCTCAAGACCACAGCTGCTCCGTGATCAACCTTCCGATCTGCAGAAGCAGCTTATTCTACTTTATATTTAGGAGCACGGTCTGTACTTCACTGGAATACATTTTGGCAGAAAGACCATGGAAGCACTGAGAAGCCACAAGACTACACAAGCTGGGAATCTCAGAATATCACAAAGAAAAAGATAGGGCAGCTGAAAGTCTCAAGAAATAAGATCTCTTTGCAACAGGTACAAAAATAGCAAAACTTGCCAAGGTACAAATTACTAGTCCTTACCATTATATGAATAATGGGTAGCATAGAACAAATACACTTCTAGATACTAGGCCTTATAAAATACATAAATGCTTCACTATTCCACATATGCCTTCAGAATTATGTACAGGCACATAATGTGAAGGTCGGATTCAAAACAAACCCTAGCTTATTCGGTTAGGCTGTCAGGAATAAGATCTGATCACACTATGATTGCTAACAAGCCATAAAGGGGGAAGAAACTCTGCAGTTACACGGTGACAAGGCTGCCAATCATTTCTGCAAATTTGCTTTTTATGATATCTGTCATTGCTTCGACAGCATTCAAATGCAATACAAGGGCCACAATGCCATAATTCTGGAATGACAGCTAGTAACCTTGTTGTCCTTTATTAACTATAATTACAGGAAGCATGTTCCAGAAAAGATAACAACATTTTTCTCGTCAGTTAGAGTCAATAGGGAACAGGCCTGTTTGGAAAGATAAAGCCACTGATTTTTAAACATGGGTGGAATGTTTTGTATGATACAATAGGCTGGCACATGAATACAGTGAAGATTGTAATAAAACCACTTATTATAAATAATAAAAGGCCAAGGAAAAAACAAGAATAATGAGTTTTGTGCAGAATAATGTTCTCCAAACACTAGGACTGCTAATGAGCTGATGTTTCTTAATTTTCCCCCCAAATAAAATAACAATTGACATTTTAGATTTTCTTTTTCTAGTTTCTGATTTATTTTTAAAGGTTGTTCCATGGGAAAGGAAATCACTGTATACGTTCCGGAATGGAACAGTTCACCCTACAGAGAGTTTTGCTGAAAGCAATAGTGTGCAAGCGCATATTTGCATTAGGTACCATGACCAACAAGAACACACATCTGTACAGATGTGAAGAGCCCTAAAAACATCAGCAACAAACATGCACCTAGATGTTGAAATTATCAACATATAATACACATCAGAGTGCTAGTAACCTCTCCGATTCCAACCACGACCATGCCAGTTTTTTCGATGATGAGATTGGGGTGCTTTACTTCTTACATGTCAGATTCAAAACTAATCCCCTTAGTTTTGAATATTTAGTAAAAAGCCTTTATTTTTTTAAATTTTTTTAACAGGTGTGCATGCCAAATTATTTTTGCATAATTTTTCAAGGACAGCATCTACTGCACCAGGATTTTGACAGCGTTGAACCTGAAAGTGCTCAGAGCTGAGCACTTTCAGGTTCATCCTGTGTTGTGAAGATGGAATAGGAGTTTATCTTCTCCCTCGCTTAACCCTTTCGCTGCCAAGGACGTACGTCGTACGGAGCTACAAAAGTGCTTCCAGCTGGCCAGCTCAGTACGTCGTACGGACCTGTATTAATTTGAGAAACATTTGCGCAATTATCGCAGGGCCTACAAATTTAGTATCACCATCTTTTTATTCTACCGGGCCTGCGCTTTCAGAAAATATATGGTTTGGGGGGTCTTTTACAAACGCTAGCAACGCAGCAGTTGAAAATCAAACCAATAGGAAAAAATTGCAGAAAATTCAAAAATGGCTTGGCCAGCTGATTTGAAAAATGTTCCTGAGGGCTTGGCAGCGAAAGGGTTAAAAATCCTGAACAGTGTATCTGCCTTCAAACGCCCAAGGTGCAAACATGACAAAGGTGTGCCCATGAAACAGGAAGAGGGGAGGGACACAGGGGACACTGGAAGGCAGAGGTTATCGGGAGAAGGGGGGGGGGCTTTACAGCAGCCTGAATAACTTCTACATACATCACACAATGAACATGATTGACAGAAAAAAAAAAACAGTCAAAATGGCAACTGATACATTTTATGGTTCCCCTTACCCACACACCACTGTGCAGCCATTCTATGGTGATTGGAGCTCCACAGAAAAAACAACTTTTATTAACGCCACAGAAAACTGCCTTGGAGGATGTGAATTTACAGTGGTAGGGTGGATAGGGGGTTAAACACAGAAGTGACAATAAAAGCCAACATACAAGAAATATAAAAATGTATAGAAATGGCTGCACAATTCTTCCAGAATGCTAATAGTGTATACCACCCAACCAAATAACCAGTAAGCATTCAGGAAATTAAAAAAAAGGTAAAGGCTGCGGGATGTGAGATATTGTGAAAATTTACTATACTACAGGGGCATGTAGGCAGAAAAAGAGGCCATGTAGATTCTAGAGGCAATAGACTAGTGAGGGACAGGATGCTTTTTCGAAGTTAAATATTCAGTTGCGAACAGAAAATGGAAGAATATCACCTCCTGAATGTGCAGGAATTATGTGGGGCTAAGCTAGCAATCTGTCTTTGTTTCTAGGTGACAACTTGTACAAAATTATAGCTGCTTTTCCCATGAGTCATGAAAGGTGTTTTTGCAGCAAGTGTATGTGTGCTGGCAGTGTGCTTAGATTCCCAACATCTGTGATATGTCAGGATGATGTGCTCAGTATGGATAACACTGTAGCAGAAATTGTACATTCGCCCCATAGTCAAAAGAAGCACATTAAATCCAGCTAACCTTCATCCCTCAAGCATTTGTTTCTCAACTTTAAATATGTATATACAGCGCTCAAAACCAGAGAAATATCCAAAATATCCTATCTTATGCTAAAATATTTCAGAAAATAAAAAAAAAAGGAAAATATTTGTCATATAGATTAAAGTGTATGCTTTAAAGTTCCAAACACAAAACAAAGATTAACGTTCATTAGGAAGTATAGCCATCACCTGCTGTTACTGTGCTGTTGTGGAGAATGTCTGGAATGGTCTGAAGGCTCCGATCTCTGGTCAGGAGACCGTGAACGGCTGCGGCGGGGCCGGTCATGTGAACGGTTGGAATGATCTGATGTCAGCGACTGAATTTCTGAAATGTCTGTTAAAGTAAAATAGGTTTTTGTTTAAGAGGAAATATTTAATAAAAAATTGGAGTGCAAAATAAAAGCTCATTATAAAATGATTCCATTTGCAATTTTAAGGGTAGGTGATCTTTGCTATTCTGACCACACTGAACATAGTGTAAAGCATTTTAACAAGAATATGTATGTTTCTGCCCCCATGAGCAGGTGTTCATTACAGGGGTGCTGCTCATAGATATAATGAACCCTAAAAGCAGCACATCAGCAGCTCCAGGTCCTAATCAGGATGCTCAGATGCCAATGGGGCAGAATAGTAATGTACACCTGCCCTATGTTGAACACTTGTTTATAGAAAATAGGTGCACAAACAATTCAGAGGGTTTTGCCCCTGATATCATTACATTTACAACCCAAAAACGATATCTGATAGCATGTGGAAGCGTTAGAACCTCTGTCAGGTGCCACAGTTGTCTTGTGTCCCCCACTGGGGGAATTTCTGCTGACTTCCTGTCCTTGTGACAGGCGAAAAATACCTCCAGTGGGGACAGAGGCAACAATAAAACACATTGTTTGAGAAGAGTGTGAACAGGTTAAAAGTGTTTTGATGCTTTTATTGCTGCTCTGTCTTCCTGTCTTGGCTTCCCTCATTTCTAATCTAGGTGTCAGAAGGGAAAAAAGTAAGTGGAAATCCCAGCTGAGTCACAGATAGTTAGAACATCTGTCAGGTTATTATAACACTTGCTTATACTAATTAAAATCGACATGGGCTTTAAAATCAAATAGTTTCTCCAAACTGCATTTTTATTTGTAAGCGTACTTGAACCCAAAAACATAAAATATACTATAATGATATATAACATAATGATAGTAATAATATACTTTAAGTAACTGCCTAATTGCATCATTTATTTCAGCAATACTACCATACCGTCTCTCTCTGAAGCGTTTGCAGAATGAAGGCTGTCATCTAGATCTGGGACATTCAGTAGAGTTGCTCGCTCATCTCTTTGAACTACCATTTTTAATTTGCCCTTTGACCTTTCTATCAATGTTTTTGCATCGGACAAAGACATGTTTTCGGTGACTGTGCCATTAATCTGCAAAACAACAATGGAGGGATTACTGGTTATTCATGCTTAGCGTAAATTATTTCTAAATCATTGAGTGACATACGCAAAGTTAACAAAGACTAGATGTATTTAGTCTGTACCAAATCCTGCAAGCAAAGCATGACTGGAGTCTGACTCGTTGGCTCCTGCTTCATACTGCTATCTAGAACACTGCAAATAACATTTTCAGAGGAAAGTTCTTTTCACTTAAACAACAAATCAGTGGAGGGTCAAAATGCATCTTTGAAGCATTAACATGGGTAAAGAAATTCCAAGCTGGGCGTTAAAATGGAATTTGAAACAGAAATTTCAAAAAATATTTTCAAACAAGGTAAAGAAAACATCAGATTTAACATGCAGCTGAATCATGTAATCTTTGCAGTCAGAATGCAGTCAGAATGCTTCTTAGGTAACATTTACAATTTCAAATTCCCACCCCTTTGTTACAAAAATATACAAACCTCTTAGTGCACACATTAATATAAACATTTTACAACTTCTTTACCTAACTTACCAAATATTTCTCCATGTCGAATCATTTTCTACAAAAATCCTGAATGTCAAATTTAAAATCAAAAAAATCGGAACACATGACAAGACAAGGTTGGACAAATCCCAGGAGCCAGCGGTCCTTAAAAATTACAGCTGGTGCCTAACTTTTGACGTTTTCTTTAGTTGTTGCTAATAGAGCTGGGTCCTAAAAAAAAAAAAAAATCCTGGCACCTCCTGTATTGGACAGCCTGGCTCCTGAATTCCCTAATATTCTGTCCATCTCTGCACTAAGGGCTTGTTCATAACATGTCCGTTGAGCGGTGTTTTCCTGCACACCACTGACATGTATGGTGTAAACAGGTTACATAGGAAACAGCTGTTTTCTATATGGCCTATTTAAACTATACGTGTGGTGGTGTGCAGAAAAACACAGCTTATTCGGTCAGTGTGAACAAGCCCTTAGTGCAGGGGTGGATAAAATATATAAAAGATAGCCTTGTCGTCCAATGAGATAAAGAGAAATGTATGTTGGATTGTATCCTTTGTAGCTGGGCTTATCATAAACTGTTTTTTGCCCTGCAAAAAAAACTGGGGAGAACTCACAAACTGGGTCCTTCTGAAAAGCCAGAGGCTAATTTTACAAACAAGAGTTGCTTGATTTCCTATTTAAACATTGAAGCCATAAGACCTTAGCTACATAGGAGAGCCTGTAATTGCCTTACCACATGACTGAGAACTGCCTATAGGCTCCTGAAACTGATCAAAGGCTTAGGAATAAACAGACAACTGCAATCTGCTATATGGCTCACAGTTGCTGCAATATCCTCTGATTACTATAAATGTCTGCAATTATAGTAGGCCACTTGCTCTTTTTAGCAATTCAGGTTTGCTGCAGTTACTTGCACAACCAGCTGCATGTGAAAGTGAATGATTCTCAGTCATGTGGAACAATAGACTCAACCATGCTGCAAACCCATTAATGTATCCAGTACGAATACTTTACCTTATGTATACATATACACTTGTACTTCTGCTCAGGTGACCTTGCTTTTTATGAAAGATCATGTGGCCAAATGAGAAGATTATGTTTTTGGCCACAGGTCCACTTTAACAGCATCGATGTATTAAAGCAGGTTTGGAAAGATGAGAAAGACAGCAGAAGTGTCCCTTCCATATAGTAGCTAGCTTATTCTTAAGTGATAGAAAGGACTGCAACTTCATGAATCTTAGCTACCGATGTGAAATCATTTCAAGGCAGGACACAGAGTCTCACATCAGCAGTTTTATCTTTACATTTTTCATCCATGAATAAGAAGGCTCTGGATTCCAGTAGTTCAGAAATGTAAACTCAGCTAGTGTTATTGATCAACATCCCTAGGAATTGTTGAGCAAGCGTCACTGCAGAAATGAAGACAGGCAGAGCTGTGAAACAAAGATTGCCAATAAACCAAAAAGCATCCTACAAGCAGAAAGAAAAGAAGTTGGCTCTTGTTGGTAAATACAATAACCGTCTCTACTTTCACCCAGTGTTTTGTTTTCACCAGATTTTCCAGCTGAACTATTCTATTCAAAGAACAACAAGTCCTACATGCAGAGATGAGATCGTTGAAGGTGATCACGCTGTTCACAACAGTGAGAGCTGTCAGTGTCAACAGAACATATAGTACATGCTTTCTGACAAAAATTAGGAGCAGCTAATTCTTCCTATGAAGATCCTAATGTCAGCAGGTTTACCCAGTGGTGCACGACAGCTTGTTTAATCCTTTACCATACAGATGACGAGAGGAAGCGCACTGCAAACATTACCACAATTGACCAGGCTTTTTAAAAAATATCCATATACATGTATAATTCACTCAGATTTTTTTTAAAAGCTTAACTCCAGGAATGATCTTTTATGGATCCCTACATTGGTCCAGCTTGACTCAATGTAGTATTCAGATCTAATATCCAGAGGGTAGCTGGGGATGCTGAAAATCACTGTAGTAGTAGTAAGCATTACATACAGTGATAGCCGATCTCTTCCAGCGGCTTCCCCTCTGCACAATGAGTTGCTCCCAGGGCACCACCTCCATTTAGAGAAGTCGTATTCTGATTGGACAAGGTGGAGAGGAGAAGAGGATTATGTCACAATCTCCACCTCCCCCAATAAGAGAACGCCTTGTATTCATTGAAGAAAATACAAGGTGTTCTCTGAATGGTGGTGGTGGCTAGTGAGCTACTCCCTGTGTTCAGAGGGGAAGCCACTGGATCCTCGGCCGGAAGAAACCAGTTATCGTTATTTGTAGCGCCGACTACTACAGCGATTTTCAGCATCTTCGGTGGACCTCCGGATAGCAGATGGATACTTATGCTGAGCCATGCTGGACCAAGTATCCATAAAATATCTTTTCTGGATTTCTGCTTTTACAGAACCATTTTTTATGTATTCATTTAACATGTACAAACACTCTACAGATATATGCTACACAGAAACAATGCTAGTTGCATAGATATAAGAAACAATGGAGGTGATTTAATGGAGGTGATTTAATGAAGGGTGCAGTATTGTGTAGTAAAAACTCACTTCACTTCACCCTCCGTGAATCACAGTATATTATATTGCACTTTAGGATATGCAAGCAGTTGGTTCAGAATATTGCTAACTTACAAGTTAATAAAAATATCTTACCTTCAGCACAACGTCGCCTTCCTGAATATTTCCATCTCTCGCTGCCAGACTATCTTGAGAGATTTCCTTTACAAAAATATGGCTGGCTAATCTTAAACCATATTCTGGAACAACAAATCATAAGAAAACAGAGTTATCACCAGTTGTATGGTATATTACATCCTCAAAATGATGCAGAGGAATGGTACCAGATATGGAATATTTTAAAAGGAAAGTCCAGTACACTGGTGAGATGCCAGTGAAATAAAAAAAAGATTTATGGATGGCATTTATTTTTTCTACAGTTTAGTAAAAGGTCTTTGCACAGACACAGTCATGTTGCAGTCACATTTTCTAAACCTGCAACGGAATTATTCAGTGCTGTGTGGCAACCTGATTCATTAAGACATTTACAGCTCCATCACTAATCAGTACAAGTAGTAAAATAATCAGAGGACAACAGCAACCTGGAAATGCTTGGCGCAGCAATCCATGCCACTTAAGTATGCTCACAGGATGAGGCACAATGCAAACACAAATTGGCAATGTATATACACACAGAAATACAAGAAAAACAATGACATTTTTCAGAATTACACTACATCCGATACAAACATAAGTGCAAGTCTTGCGGCTTCAATTAAAAATAAAAAACGTGTTGCATCAAGGTAAACCACTGCAGATAGCTCCATAGACAACCATATGCCATGAAATCAGCGCTTTAGGATCGCACATATAACTGCTGAATAAAAGTACCATAAGAGTAACATACCTTCATTTTTTCTAGATTTCACCAAGGTCACTTTGGAAGGTTTTGGAGGTTGACTGGAAGCGACAGATCTTCTGTCTGATCTAGGCGACAAACTTCTTTCTCTGCTGGCACTTCTGTCCCTTACCCAGCTCTTCTCACTCCTCCTGCTGGCACCAGGGCCGCTATGGGCACTTCTCTGGTCAGGCACCTCATCCTCATAACTGTCCTCCTCATTTTCAGATGCTGGCTCTGGGTCAGGACGAACCACAGGGAGCTGGACTTTTTTCTTCCGTCGTATAGTCTGGAATGGGTTTGATGAGAATTGTAAAACAAGATGCCAGGTTTAATCACATAAGCTGAACTGTAATATGATTACTAGTATTCCATCAGCCGCTGTGCAAAAATATGAGGAAAGATTAATTAGGCGTGTTGAGCAATTTGTTTCAAAGAAAATGCTGATCCTACATAATTCAGATCAATCTAAGAGCCGCAAAACCAGTCTCATAAAAATGCTGTCAAGGAGCCCAAGTTTGAACAATGGATAAAATAATGTGGAATTTATGAATTGGCTTAAACACTGGATGTATGTATGTATGCCAAGCTAAAATATGGGACATTGACAATATATACACTTTAATTTTTAAAGTGTCAAGTTTAAAGCAGCCAAATGAATAACTGACAATCAATATCTGACCCGAACAGGCAGTGTCTTCTTATAATGCTAAATATTTCTAGAAAGCTTTTCAGGAAATGTATTGTGAACACGTATATTGGCAAATTAATGTGGACTTAAATTAATCTTGGACTGTTTGCACAGACTGGAATTGAAACTCATTGCATAATGAAATAAAACAAAAACCAACTTACAATTTTGGCATTTTTACCACTCTTTCTCAACTGTTGAACAGCAAACGCGTGCTCCACATTATCCATTGACACTCCATTGACCATTGCAACACGGTCATTTTCCCTGCAAAGACAATACAGAAAGTGTTAATATCATTTTTTAAATTTGTTATTCATTTTTATAATCATTTTTATTCACCTAGATATACTGCAGGTCATACCTAGCTTGCAGTGCTCATAATCCATATTCACTGTACCTGCCTTTGTATCAGCTCTATTAACTTAGAGGTTCTTAAGAACAGTTTTCTTATATGTCAACATAGATTGGACTGTTGCCCATGTATTGTGAACACGTATATTGGCACAAACTATCATAAAGTACCCAGAGACAGAAGATAACAGTTGGCTGGGACATTGACCATGTGCATACCCTGTAAACAAGGTGGTGAAAATTTCTCCCAATTTTGCCCCAAAAACATTGTAAAACCTTTTCTAAAAAGTATTATTTTGCCAAAAAATAAGAACCCACTTGAGTGGCTTAACAACGTTTCTCTGAGCTTGTCCATAGGTACTTTTAGACAGTTAGCAAAGCCAATTATTTCAATTCATGGCATCAGCAGCCAACAGGTGTCATATGTGCCCAAGGGCATCTGGCTGTAGTGTGTGCACAATCAGCCGTCCTCTTAGGTCTCAGCACTTAAAAGTGTATATCAAATTCAAATCCCCATGTTTATCTCTTTAAGGACCTCTTTAAAGTAAAATGCCTGCCCATGTGTGGGTTACATACACTTTTTGTCTTTTTTAAACTCTTATGTCAGACAAAAAAACCTGCTTTTTCCCTAGATGTCACGGTAGCACTGGTAACCCTTTTAATGGGCGACTTTAGGGAAAAAAAACTAATCGCTGCAAATTCTGCTTTCTTGGTCAACTCTCACAGCCTGCTGAGTGGACAATGATGGCAGTGCATTAACGAGGTCTCTGCTGCGCTCTCCCCTTTCGTAAACATGTTCAGTAGGAGTGTCAGCACTGTGAAAAGCAATGGGCCCCTGTCTAGCTCAGAGTGCTGCTCGTCCCTCTACCAGTGTGAGGTCTGCTGGACAGGGCATGACTGAATTATTTAAAAAGTAGCAAAATTCAGGAGGTGGCAGGCACAATCAATAAATATAATACTAAGAACTTATTCTGCGCATAAACAGTTCTTTCAACTATGACTTTTGCAGCATGACATTAAATGGTCAACAAACAACCCAATAATTCAGTTTTCTGGAAAGTGCTGACTGAACTAAATATTCCACTTCACACATCTTCAATACTCTTGCACTAAAATGTATACCCCCTTTATTATACAGGTTTGTCCATCTCTATTTAAGAGGTTTGAGATTGACTTTGGGAGGGTTGAGACTTGGAGGTGAGGGAAGAAGAGCCAGGAACTATGTGGGGGAGATCTCCCCCTCCTGAGATCCTTAAAGTAAAACTGGTCATATAGACTGTTAGATTTTTTTTTTCCGTTCAGCCTGCCGACTGAAGACAAAACATCTCACAGATGCCTCCATCTAAGTTAACCAGTGTGGATGGATAAATCTCCTGCTGGGCCATTGTATTTTCTGATCGAAGGATGTTGGACAGAAGGCTGCCGGCAGGGCTACCTACTGAGCGCATTACGCTCAGTCTACGGCCAGCTTCGTGGAATGGATAATGCATCAGCATCTACCAAAAAAGAAGTACCAATTTTGGGTGCAAGAAACCTTTAGTGCTCGTTCACGCCACAGGCGTTTGTTACGCGTAGTTGTCAGCATTGAAAAGCTCAACACAAGCCTGTAGCTGGAAAAAAGTACAAGCTTTTTTGGGGGGCAGATCAGCACAATTTTACCTTTTGTCCTATAAAGTCTACGGGGACAAATTTCGCTGATCTGGTCAAAAACTTTTTTTTCCAACGACAGGCATTTTTCCACGTGCGCGCAGCTACACTGAGGTGTGAACAGGGACTATAGAAATAAATGGGATTTCTTGTGTTGAGCTTTTCAGTGCTGACAAATACACGCGGCAAACTCGTGTTGTGTGAACGAGGCCTAAAATTTTGTTACAAAATCAATATTTAAATGAAGAATATAAACAGCACTCTTGCGCCTCTCATGTTGTCAACAACAAAAAAAAACAACATATTCCTTTGCAAATAAAGCCAATACGGGACAGTTTAGTTCCTGAATTATACTTTACACCACTGGAAAGTAAAAGAAAATATAAGTGGATAGGATGGTATCCTATTTTTAAAGTTTGTGTGGAGCAAGGGTTTTATTCCCCAATGTGCATTTGCCACTGTTCCTGATACCAGACCTCTGGGCGTCTGATGACAACCAGAGATTTGCCTGAGCATGATGTCCCCAGGCGTTAGAGGATTATCCTCATGGACAATGCATTCTAGTAGTGGTAACCAAGAAGTCCAGAGCACGCAGATTTTCACTGTCATGGTGGTAACCAAGAAGTCCAGTTCACACAGACTTTCAGGCTATGTTTACATCATGTCTGGAACAGATCTGCAAAAGCAGTGCAGTGCATTTGTGCCTCTTTTTTAATTTTTTTATTAGCTTAAGGTTTGGTTCACACCCAGGTGTTTTTGAGCAGTAGGAAAAGCGCTTTTAAATGTCCAACACAAGAAATCCCATGATTTTCAAAGGCCCTGGTTCATACCTGAGCAGCAAAATGCCAGCAGGAGAACGCCAAATGCAGAAAAAGGTATATGAGCTTCTTTGGCAGTCTCAAGCTCATTTTCCCCCCCAAGACTTCAATAGAAATGCCAGAAAATGCGTGGCAGGAGCATGTTGCACATTTTCATGAGCGTTTGTATGTGTATTCCTCCATTGACCACAATGTTTCTTAAGCTGCCAGTTAGGTATGCACCGATACCTATACTAGTATCTGTGCCAATGCCGAGTATGTGGGCGAGTACTCGTACTCGCCCAAATGATCCGATGCCTAGCCCGATACTTTCGGTATCAGGAAGCCGGGCAGCGTGTAATGACGCGGTGACCAGCTTTCTGATTGGCCGAGAAGCCGGCTTCATGCTCCCTCATCACCTCATACCAAGGGAGCATGGAGTCGGCTTCCTGGCCAATCAGAAAGCCGGGCGCGTGTCATTACCACTTCCTGAAAGCCAGAAAGCCAACTCCATGCTTTCTCATCCCCTAGTGACGTGAAGCATGGGGACGGCTTCCCTGCTAATCGAGAAGCTGGGTGGCGAGTTTTTACACACCATCCGGCTAATCAGGAAGCCAGGTGGAGAGTCATTATACGCCGCCTGGCTTCCTTAATGGGACTTCCGGTATCAGTATGGGCGAGTATTAATAAAAATATATATATATATATATAGGTACTCGTACTCTATACCGAAAAAACGATATCTGTGCATCTCTTCTGCCAGTCAAAAACGTGCATAGATTCACAAATGACTGCATGCAAAACCTATGCTGCCTAGGTGTGAATCAGGCCTAAAATGGGTTTCATGTGCACTCCAGTGCATTTGCATGCCTTTTTGATGCATTTCCATGTGTTCCAGTGCATTCCAGACCAGAAAAAAATGAGACAAGCAGCATTTTTTTTTGTCTAGAGCGGAATAGACTGCGCTGATGTGAACAGAGCCCAGAAATACCATGGGGATACATTGGGATGCTTTTTTGGTCCAGGTACAAACTGTTCTGGTCCGGACATGGTGTAAACAAGCCCTCACTGTCATGGCGGTAACCAAGAAGCTCAGTTCACACAGACTTTCACTGTCATGCTAGGACTGCTGCCGAGAACTCCCAGCTGGAAATTTTACCCTGTCTCATAGCTGCCAAAACTGAGCAAAAGATTGTGTAGCATTTCTAAAAGCAATTATTATTATGTTGTCCATCACTTTCAAATGCCAGTCAAAGCATCTTATTTTTCTTACAAGTAACATGAGCTTTCTTAACAAGGTAACCCCTATGGACGTTATGTATGGGGTGATCCTCACTATATCTGTAGAATGTGAGCTCAGAAGGTAAAACAGACAACTATATTGTCCCAGGAAAGGGCACTGACACTTGGGGGCCACACTTCTAACACTTCTAACAAAGCACTTACAATCCCACGATTATACCATAAAAAGAAAAAAAAAAAAGAGAAAGGGGAAAAATAAACATATTTCACTAAAAAAGAATTTTAAACATTTTACATGGCCTACCAATAAGCCATTAAAACGCACAGTATCTTCTGTTTCGAAAGGTGTTAATGTAGTGTTCATACAGTTTCAGCTAGCCATGCTAATGCAGTTAAAATAAAACCAAGTGTGAACTGCATATGCATGAATTACACAATAACACCTTTGCTTTTAAGCACAATTTTTTTTCTTTACAGGTTTACACTGCTTTACTTTAAACTGCAAAGGGAACCCTGCTTGAAAGTTTAACCTGAACAGAGGCAGCATGAAGTGTTATTGCAAAACCACTAGCTGAAATCTAAACAGTTGGAAGAGGAAAGCCAGCAAAGAAAATATGATGCACATAGTTCTAGGAGGTGCGGTATGCCCACTGAAATAATGGCTGAAAGAACTCCACAAATATGCAGTCTTCACACTGCACAGTGCATACACTTTCTCTGGACTAGTGCCTCTTGGCTCAGGTTCCATAGAAAAACAACAACTGAAATTAGAATGCTGATTTTCCATTTGGGGAACTGCTCGTTTCACCTATTCTGACCAGTCCTCATCTAAAATATGTATGAATAATGATGTGCCAACAGCATGTGAAGATGAACGAAGCTTCACATGTAAAGAGAAAGCACAATTTGAACAAACTCCTTCAAACACACAGGACTATGCAAAGGTTTTAGGCAGGTGTGAACAAATGCTGTACCGCAAGAATGCTTTCAGAAATAAAAGTGATAGTTTATTTTTTATCAATTAATAAAATGGAAAGTAAATGAACAGAAGAGAAATCCAAATCTACTCAATATTTGCTGTGACCACACTCTGCCTTCAAAACAGCATCAATTCTTTTAAGTACACTTGCACACAGTTTGTGAAATAACTCGGCAGGTAGGTTGTTCCACACATCTTGGAGAACTAACCACAGATCTTCTGTGGATGTAGGCTGCCTCAAATCCTTCTGTCTCTTCATGTAATCCCAGACAGACTCCATGATGTTGAGATCGGGGCTCTGTGGGGGCCAAACTATCACTTCCAGGACTCCTTTTCCTTTTTTACACTGAAGATAGTTCCTAATGACATTGGCTGTTTGTTTGGAGGCGTTGTCCTGCTGCAGAATAAATTTGGGACCAATCACATGACTCCCTGATGGTATGGCATGACGGATAAGTATCTGCTTGTATTTCTTAGCATTGAAGACACTATTGATCCTGACCAAATCTGCAACTCCATTGGCAGAAATGCAGCCCCAGACTTGCAAGGCACCTCCACCATGCTTCACGATTGCCTGCAGACACTCATTATTGTACTGCCCTCCAGCAAACAAAGTGCTTCCTGATACAACCAAATACTTCAGATTTTGACTTAACAGTCCAGAGCACCTGCTGTCATTTTTCTGCAGGCTTGCGGCCCAAAAGTTATGCCTCCGACATGGAAACAAGGCTTAGTGACTCAACTATGCACGAAAACATAGGACTGGGGTGCAGAAAAATGGGGTTAAGGTTAGAGCTGCAACAGTTAAATCGATTTAGTCGATTAAAATCGACGATTGAAAACGTTGTCAACGTTTTCGATAGTCGATTCGTCGGCTATCGATTCCACCCCATTCCACCATCATACCCGTCCTCTGCACCCCATTCCACCATCATACCCATCCTCTGTACTGCCCTCCAGCAAACAAAGTGCTTCCTGATACAACCAAATACTTCAGATTTTGACTTAACAGTCCAGAGCACCTGCTGTCATTTTTCTGCAGGCTTGCGGCCCAAAAGTTATGCCTCCGACATGGAAACAAGGCTTAGTGACTCAACTATGCACGAAAACATAGGACTGGGGTGCAGAAAAATGGGGTTAAGGTTAGAGCTGCAACAGTTAAATCGATTTAGTCGATTAAAATCGACGATTGAAAACGTTGTCAACGTTTTCGATAGTCGATTCGTCGGCTATCGATTCCACCCCATTCCACCATCATACCCGTCCTCTGCACCCCATTCCACCATCATACCCATCCTCTGCACCCCATTCAACCATCATACCCGTCCTCTGCACCCCATTCAACCATCATACCCGTCCTCTCCATTCTTGCACTCCATTCCATCATCATAACCATCCCCTGCACCCCATTCCACCATCATACCTGTCCTCTCTATTCCATCATACCCGTCCTCTGCACCCCATTCAATCATCATCATACAGTTAAATCGATTTAGTCCACTCCATTCCACCATCCTACCCATCCTCTCCATCCCTGCACCCCATTCCAACATCATACCTGTCCTCTCCATTCCATCATACCCATCCTCTGCACCCCATTCAATCATCATCATACCCATCCTCTCCATCCCTGCACTCCATTCCATCATAACTGTCCTCTGAACCCCATTCCACCATAACTGTCCTCTCCATCCCTGCACTCCATTCCACCATCCTACCCATCCTCTCCATCCCTGCACCCCATTCCAACATCATACCTGTCCTCTCCATTCCATCATCATACCCGTCCTCTGCACCCCATTCCATCATCATACCCGTCCTCTCCAATAACACCGGCTATAGCCATACCCATCCTCTCCATCCCTGCACTCCATTCCACCATCATAACCGTCCTCTCCATCCCTGCACTCCATTCCACCATCATAACCGTCCTCTCCATCCCTGCACTCCATTCCACCATCATACCCGTCCTCTCCATCCCTGCACTCCATTCCACCATCATACCATCCTCTCCTTCCCTGCACTCCATTCCATCATCATACCCGTCCTCTGCACCCCATTCCACCATCATACCCGTCCTCTCTATTCCTGCATCATACCCGTCCTCTCCAATAACAGCGGCTATAGAGGAATACATCAGATCCCAGCAATAGTACATTATACAGCGCAATGCAGAATACCAGCAGCTACAGAGTACTACAAATCCCAGCAATAGTACATTATAGTATAATGTACTATTGCTGGCATTTGTTGTATTCCTCTGAAGCTGCTGGTATTCTGCATTGCGCCGCTGTATATTGTACGATGCTGGCATCCAAAGATAAACTTTTGGATTAAAAAAAAAAAACTCCAAGAAAAAAAAGTATATTGTTTTGTGAATTGAAGGTTATTCCACCAAAGTGCCAAGATACAAAAGATTTCATATACAAGGTGTCCGCTACTGTCTTGAGAGAAGAGGGAAGTCCAGTTCTTCCCAAGATAGGAAAACGAAACCGAAGGCCCAGAAGCACAACTGCACAAAAGGGTAAATACCTTAAAATTTGCAGTTTGAGAAACAGATACCTTACTGGTCCTCAGTTGTTTCCTTAAATAGTACACGCTAAATACCAGTGTTATCTGCAGAAGTGAAAGGATGACTCCAGGATATTAGCCCTAAAGGCATTTATGTAAGACAGAGCAGAAGAAAGTATGTAGCATGAAAATGATCTCAGCAAAACCTGTTTGGGTAAGAAGTAGGAAGCCGCAGTATAGATCCTAAGTCTATCAGGACCTTCAATGTAAAAGAGAAAAATTCCCTACAAAAGGTAGTCACACATGCGGGATGAGATACTCAACTTAGAGTTCAATGTTCTCCTAAATATTGTTTTAAAAAAATACAACAAAAAAAACTATAATGCCAAAGGCATAGAAATCCTTAAAGTGCTGCAAATTGAAGACTCTGATGAATACAAAGTTTGAAGAATAGAAAGGTTTTATTAAATTAAAAAAAAAGTTGTGACATTGTCAATGTATTATCCAATGCCATGCTGCCTTGCTGAATAGTATCAACTGCTATAAAGCACACGCCTCTTTTCGATTTATCTTTAGGATACAATATATCAGCTTAGGAACTACAGTAGAAACTTAAAGTGACACTAAACTCAGGAGTAAAATCTTAAAAATTAATTCAAGTACCTTAACGATTACCAAAAATGTATCTTATTTGTGTATCACGCAGTTGTAGAGCCTCAAATCATCTCTGAATTGGTGCCGACACTGTCCTTCCTTCTGGAGGGTGGCTACTTTTATTCCTCATGGTCCCTGTGTGTGTTGTAAAGTAGTCACCGCTCCAAGCTCACTCGCGCGATGGACTACAATCTCAGGTTAGTTTACTAATTTGTATCGATATTGTAGTCATCACAGGAGTGAGCTTGGAGCGGTGGCTATTTTACAACACACACAGGGACCATGGAGAACAAAAGTAGCCACCCTCCAGGAGGAAGGACAGTGTCATCACCAATTCAGAGATGATTTGAGGATCTACAGCCGAGTGATACACAAATACGATACATTGTTTTTAGGGTACTTGAATGCATTTTTAAGATTTAACTCCCGAGTTTAGTGTCACTTTAACAGCACATGCAAAACATGTCAGACATTTCAGGGTAATCTGCAGCATAGTGCTGTGCTATAGAAAACACGTAATCCCGGTATTGTGGCGCAACTCACAAAGACTAAAATGACAGTTATTTACAATAATAATAATAAGTGTTCAAAATACTGAATTTGAACATTACATTAGCCAGCATACTGAAATAAGCCACTGACTACTCCATAGGAAAAGGACAGAAAATTTGGATGTTACATCCATTGCCCTTCATTATTACCAACAGTTATACATGTAGCAAAAAGAGAACACACTTACTGCAGCAGGCCTTCAGCAGGGCCTCCCTTGAGAACATCAGAGATGACTATTGACGTTTCTCCACTCTGGAAATGAGGGTTATCTCTACCTCCTGATATTGCGATCCCAAATCCAAATCCTGGGGCCTGTGGGGAAAAACCATTTATTTTATCAGTGTTATAACTTGACAGGTGAGAAGCAAATAATTCTCTCAGCTACATTGCCAGCCATTGGCATCTACAGCAAGTGATGTAGAAGACTGTTCTTCTAAGTCAAACTAATGTATTCGATTTACCATGCACATTCATACTCCAAACTTAGGCTCCATTCACACGTAGCGGTTTCCGCGCAGAATTAAACCGCGCAAACAGTAACATACACGTGGATCCTGCGCGCTTGTGGCTATTACTATAGCTGGAATGTGCAGAATCGGCCCAAAACATTGTGCTTGGACTATTTTGCAGGATGTGAGTTTCGTACCGTGGTGCTGCCGCATTAGTCTGAACATTGCAATGCGTTGGTTTTTATGTTTAGCGCATTTCCGTATGTGCGGGAAAACCGCTCGCGTGTGAATGGAGCCTTAGCTTCACATACTATAAATGATTAATGCATATCTGTACATTCAACACAAACAATGACCTGCAGCTCTATATACGCAGCTATACTACTTTTTAGTACTACCTGGATATGTTCTTCTTGGCCAACTAATAAACTCTCAGCCCCTACAGACAGTATGCAGATATGGGGAGAAGAGCAAAAACTCTTAGCAGCCTCAGTCACCACCTTTCTAACAGTTCTCCCATTTACTACCAATGTAGAAGAAACACCCAAACATTCTGCTCAACCTCTCCTGAAAAGCACACTGAGGCAAGAGAGAATAGCACTTTCCAAACCGAAGAAGCATGGAACGCCATGACATAAACCAGGGTTGTGGCATGTGCCCGCTCTGCATGCCTAGACTGAACTGAAATTTGCCCTCATTGTTTCCCATAGCCTATGTAGCTGAAATAACCAGCAACAAAACAAGCAGAAAACGTTTTTCAGGCAGCAACACTTGTATGTATAAAGTTTTACATAGATTTCACAGAATATGTTACAGCAACAACAGGGATAGAGCAGCAAAAACAGATAGACTATTTATAAAAGAAACCTGCAGAAAACCGACCTGTTGTATAGGTTCTTACAATGTGTTTATTTAGAATGGTTCACATATAATGCTATGCAGAAGAACACCTTGACATGTAACCATACAGCTCAGGAAAATACTATTCTACTTATTTACTAAATAATTATTGGTTTGTATGTTCATTGTCTTTTGTTGTTTGACTAAATGAGGATATGTACAATGACATGTCTAATTGTAATTCACGCACTTTGATTCATCTTCTGTACGCCAAGGTTAAAGCAGTTACTCTTTATGTATTCTGGTGTTATTGATTTGTTGTAGTCCTCTATAGCTGGTGATATTCTGCATTGCGCTGTATAATGTACTATTGCTGGGTTTTATATTCCTCTATAGTCGGTGCCATTTTGCATTCATTGATGTATAATTTTACACTTTCCTTTTCACTATATTGCACACCACACTATTTTTTTCCACCGCTCCAAGCTTGCTCCTGTGATGGACTACAATCTCAATACAAACTAGTAGTCCATCACTGGAGCCATTTTTTTTATTGTTTATCCGATTAATCGAACTTAATAATCGGCTAACTAATCGATTTTGAAAATAATCGTTAGCTGCAGCTCTATATAGCTACATATTCTCTGCTGATATATTTAACTGCTGCATAAAAGTTGTTGTGCATGGCAATACCACGGTGAAATGTGGCATCATAGTCACCCAAGATTCTCAGCCAAAGGGGCGGATGGGTTGCAGGAACTAAGTACTTTTAGGTCCAGTTCACACCGCATAAGTAAAGCCTCCCATGTTCTGGGCCAGGAGGGGTCGTGGTGCACGAATGCATCTAGTATAGTTAGCACTTGTGTTTTAGTAAGTAATAATTGTGACTACAAAAAGTCCTTTCCTATTTTCAGTAAATCTATCTCCGACACAACGTGCATGCACTATTTTTTGCAATTGCACCTCACTGGACCATGAGCATTGCTATACCACGCATTCTGGTTGCGGTGCCATTGACTTGAATGCACAGCCACGTCCTCTCCCGCCCCAGAACGCAGGGTGTTGGCCGGGATGTAATTAAGTGCGTTCCAGCAGCTAATCATGAAGGAACACACTGGAGATGGTGTGAACCAGCCCTTAAACCCTAGGCTCAATTCAGACCTTACATAGTATTTGAGGTTGAATAAAGACATATGTCCATCAAGTCCAACCTATTGTGTGTGTGTATAGGTCCTTGAGGCATCTCAAGAGTACCTGTACCTCCGTATATTACGGTCTCTCAGGAAATCGTCTAAAAGCCTCTTGAATGATTCCACACTATTTGCTGAATCACTGCTTGTGGCAACGAGTTCCAGACCCTAACCGCTCGAACTGAGAAGAACCCCCTTCGCCCCTTGTGTTTGAATTTTTTTTCTGCCAGTTTTAGGTGGTGGCCTCTAGTCTTTGTTACGGAAGTGTCTTCGTGCACAGTATTTACACATGACTGGACAAATCTCATTGGGATCTAGGAGACAGCTGAAAAATTGGGAGCAATAGGTTACCATGAGATGTCATGTGATACAACGCACATGCGATGGCTTGGTGCATTGAGGTGTCGTGAAAAAAATAATGGCACCACAGTGTAGATAACATTGCAACATGCGATCCAGGATCCCGTGCACCATCGCATGTGCTCCCACATCACAAGATGTGAGCGGAGCCTCAGTAAAGCATGAGTGTAACTAAATCAGAAATGCAGACTTATACAATCCTGGTGGACATTGTTCTGTCTTTTTGGACATATATACACACTTTACTAAAGGGTAATTACTAGGGATGCACCAGAATTTTCAGCAACCTAAACATTTGGGCCAAAAATGGTACAATGGACAAAATCCCCATAGTACCAAAACAGCCGAAAATGTGGTTAATCCCCAGCATCTCCCCTCTATGCTGGGTGCCGACTTCAAGGTTGACCTGTGTCCGCAGCGGGGATCAGAGCGGATCCAGCTGCCGGCACCCAGCAGGGAGGAGTGACCTATGAGGAGGCCAAGCAGGGCAGTGTGGGGAGAAGAGACCAGGAGAGCCTTGATACAGTGGTACCTCGGTTCGCGAACAATTCGGTTTGCGAACAGGAAGTTCTGCAAAATGTTGCTTCCGTTCACAAACTCCGAATCGGGTGACAAACACAACTGCAGCCATCTTCCCTGCTCTGACACTAGTTGTGGCTTCTTCTAGTCGAGATCGCGGTCTGATCACAGTTTGATTCGGTTCACAACCAGAATCGTGGAACGAATTAAGTTCGTGAACCGAGGTACCACTGTATTTCCCAAAACCCTTAACAGTAAAGTAAAAAAACTAAAACATACAAATAAAAAAAAATACATTTTAAAAATGTGAAAAGGTTGGGGGGGAAAAAAAAAAGTAATTTTCAGTTTTGGCCTGACAAGTTTTTACGTGTCTACAAATTTAAAAATTCGGGGCATCCCTAGTAATTGCACAGACACACTTAACCTATGAATACTGTGACACACGCACATTACTGATCCATTTGCTTTCCTCCACAGATATGTAATTGGTGCTTAATGTCGCCTGCACTTGCAGGTCCCCTATGCGTGCATATACACACACAACTGATTCATAATATCCATGGCTGACACACACACTCATGTAACACGTGCATAGTGTCCCTTGCGTGTATTTTGGCTACTGCTATGAAGAAAAGAAAAAACGCACAGCAAAGCAAGGTTTTAAAGCCTGTATGTCAAGCCAAGGGCATTTAGTGTGTGTTAACACAATGCAAGTGTTACCAGCTAAAACTAATTCGATGGATAAACCGTGAAATAAAACCAAAAGCTAGTGCAATAAAATAATTCAACTACGCTAAAATTCAAAAACACACTTCTGTAAGTCCTTTCTATGAGCATTTCCCCAAAAATGTATGTTTTATCATTCATAAAAGGGAAAATTGAATTATTCAAACACCCAATAATTTGGAACCTTCAGAATGATTCCCTCCTTGTGTCTAGCACTTTTAATAAATGTAAACAAGCTACAAAGCCTACGAGTTAATCACTCCATTGGCATCTGAACTATTCCTTGTGACTAACCCACTGTAAGAATTAGGTTCACACACTGGCTGCTAATCCTACATAGGACAGACCTTTCATGCTGTGCAGCTTACTCATGCCTTACATATGCTACGAACAACAGACTGAGAAAGTCACATCTCTCTAAATGATTTACTGGAGGTGGCAGACCACACAAGAGTATAACACAACATACACCATAGCCAATACAGGTGACCATACTAAAATGAGTCCTATATACCGAGCTCCCTACTCTCCACAAGCCACCTCCCTATAGAATAATATTCACGAGACAGACGGCTTTCTCAGGAGCAAAATTATCATTTTCACCAGCAGTTTTAAGGTCACAACTTCAGTTTTCATAAAGTATTAGTTTACCCACACACTAGCAAATAACTTCCAGTGAGGTCAGATAAGGAAATGTGTACTCAGGGAAAGGAGCAGAAAAGCAGAACCCTTAGCAAAGCATGCTGTAATAATCCAATGGGAACTGTGACATGTACTGATCCTAGAATATTGTCTCTCGTGCTCTCTTGCTGGCGCTCTCTCTATATAAAACACACACACACACACACACACACACACACCGAGTATTTGGGCGAGTACTCAAAAGCCCAAATGCTCCCGATACTTATTTCAATACCGGTAACTTCCAGTATAAGGAAGCTGGGCAGCAAGTTATTACACACCGCCCGGCTTCCTGATTGGCTGGAAGGTGGCTCCATACTCCCTCGTCACCAGGGAGCATGGAGCTGGCTTCCCACCCAATCAGGAAGCCAGGGGGTGGGTAATGACTCGCCCCCGTCTTTCTGATTAGCCAGAAAGCTGGCTCTATGCTTCGTCACCTGGTGACATGGGAGCATGGAGCCAGCTGCCTGGCTTCCTGACTGGTCAGGAAACTGGCCAATCAGGAAGTCGGGCGGCGAGCCATTACCAGCCCCCCAGCTTCCTGATT